GTCGACATTGTTTATATATATATATATATATATATATATATATATACATATATATACATATGTGTTCTGTGACTCGCACAACAATTACGCTTTTAACAAGTTTTTAAATCTGAACTTTGTCAAGATAGAAATTATTTTGGAACGTGATATAACAATATATATATATATATACCACTGAAATTTGTTATATCACGTTCCAAAATAATTTCTATCTTGACAAAGTTCAGATTTAAAAACTTGTTAAAAGCGTAATTGTTGTGCGAGTCACAGAACACAATTTCGTACGCACAAAATGCACTTTCTCATAAAAAACGAAGATTCCATAAGCCAGAAAATTTATTCTAGATTTACCGTTCGAACGGCTTCGAGTGCAAAGGGTTTAGTTCGATTCCGTGCGACCCGGACGGTCCAAAAAGGAGCCGGGCCTGCAACGGTATGACAGCGAGCGAGCAAACGGCGCTGCTAGAAGAGTTACGCGGCAAACTTGTAACGCGATCGCGATATCGTTCAGCGTCGGCCGACCCGTGTTCATCAACGTTCACCGATGGCACACCCAACTAGTTATACATCCATCGAGTGGATGTTGTTCGACGTTGATGCATGCATTATTCAGCCGGTGTATCCATTCATTATTCATGTCATGATCAATGGATGTCAACAGACCGCGATCTGTATCTGAACACGTCGCCATGACGGAAAGTGAAAGCGACGCCGTCGTTCGAGCGCGCAACCACGCCGCGATAGGGAGCGGTTCTAGGGGATGGTCCACGGATAATAGGGTGCACGAGGGGGGGAAGGGTGTGTAGGGTGCGCGGGGAGGGGGAGGGCGGGGGTTGGTATACGTCGGGCGCGCGGCATCGATGGATGATCAGACTTTCCGAAATTCGTCGGACGCGGCACGCTCGACTTCCTCACAATAGCGATTAACTGGCAATCTAGGGGATCCAGTTTCTACGGCAGATCGATGCGTTAACAAACGGACGCGTTAATTGGGAAATCCTGGCGTGTCCGTGGAAATGCATGGCTGGGAACATTATTGGGGTTGAACTGTTCGTTAGGTCGTACGTGGTTACCTGCCGTACCTGCGTAAAAGCAAGCTTTGCTTTCAGCTGCTCGTTTCAATCGAATATTTCGAGGCTCCCCAAGTTTCCCCGAGAGAGATTCGTTGCGATTACTTGCAGCGACGCCTTTGAAATATCTGCGGCTGCACGGAAGAACGCCGTTGTCGCACGATTTTACTTGCGGGATGCAGTAAATTCTTTTCACTTGTTGTTCGGCTTGCGCGCGAAAATGGACAATTTGGGAGGAGGAGATACGATTATTCGAGCCTCGCGGCTCATTTTTATAGTTGCCGATTGTCAACGATTATAAAAACTAGGTGCAAGGAGCTCGAATAATCGTATCGTCCCAAATTGTTCATTTTTGTTTACAAGCTGAAAAAAATTGACGAGTGCTCGTGGTTATTTTCCTATACAGTGATTGCTTGAGGGGAAGTAATTATGGTGAAGGTTGCAAACTATGGTAAATCTTGGAAATGATTAGATTAATAGCTTAGTATGTAGATTGAACGTCTTTGTACAATTATTTCTATTTTTAGAAATTATGTTACATAGAGGAGATACCCCTTCTTCTAGAGCAATTACTCCCATAATAGTGGTCTACTCAAAGATCATTGAATTAAAATCATTTAATTGAACAAAATATGGTCGTTCATCTAGCATGCTTCGTACAGGATGTAACATGATCCTTACATTTCAGCCAATTCAAATACTAGGGAATTTAATTACATTAAATTGAAGAGTTTTTAATTTTTATTTCTCAATACAATAATAAAGTTAATTAACTCCCCTATATTCCACGGAAATACGAATCGTACGCAGATAGTAAATTTTGTTAATAAATATTGTTACTGTAACGCTGCAACGCATAATTATGCTAATTCGTGCCAAGTTTATTTGTCCGTTCGCGAACCATAAACTTCATTTTGACGCGACCATATTATGCTGGTGTATCATTTTGCGTGTTCAACCACTTGTGCAATAAAGCAACGTACATAAGTTTATTTATTAACGATTGAACCATCGAATCGGCATATCGTGCCTCTGTTGTATATACGATGTAAAGAGAGGGCGCCGAATGTTCACTTCATCTCATGAAGCGAATACGTCGGTTGTTTTTGTTTACTGTTTGTTTCTGTATGCATCTTCTGTTGTGTGTATCTATTAAATTCATTTGTAAATACTATATATAAACACATACGTCAAATTAAAATCTAAACATACTAAACAGATACGAAAGCGAAACAAGTACATTAAATCGCGAAACAATCGCACAGAAATGAAATGTTTCACATTACTTGGAAACAGACGAAAAAATGAATAGTCTTTAATTAAATAAAACGAACGCTCGAGTCATGCTTCGCGACAGCTTGTCCATGTTTCTGTCAATTATTGGGTTAGCAACTAATTGCCGATTTGTTCAATGAAATAAAAATTTTTTGTTTACTTGGAACGAAGTTTAAACTGTAATGCATTTTCCATTTTGTTAATATAAAGTCTGATATTGCCAACCCAATAATTGTATCTTCTCTTCCCAAAATTGTCCATTTCTGTGCGAAATCTGAGCGCAAATTAGGGAGAAATTACTGTACTCGTACACTTGGTAACATAATAATAATAATAATAATAGTAATAATAATAATAATAATAATAATAATTTTATAATATAACATTTACGGATATCATAAAAATGGGAGTGAGAGACATCTATGCGAAATCTGAGCGCAAATTAGGGAGAAATTACTGTACTCGTACACTTGGTAACATAACAATAATAATAATAATAGTAATAATAATAATAATAATAATAATAATAATAATAATAATAATAATAATAATAATAATAATAATAATAATAATAATAATAATAATAATAATAATAATAATAATAATAATAATAATAATAATAATAATAATAATAATAATAATAATAATAATAATAATAATAATAATAATAATAATAATAATAATAATAATAATAATAATAATAATAATAATAATAATAATAATAATAATAATAATAATAATAATAATAATAATAATAATAATAATAATAATAATAATAATAATAATAATAATAATAATAATAATAATAATAATAATAATAATAATAATAATAATAATAATAATAATAATAATAATAATAATAATAATAATAATAATAATAATAATAATAATAATAATAATAATAATAATAATAATAATAATAATAATAATAATAATAATAATAATAATAATAATAATAATAATAATAATAATAATAATAATAATAATAATAATAATAATAATAATAATAATAATAATAATAATAATAATAATAATAATAATAATAATAATAATAATAATAATAATAATAATAATAATAATAATAATAATAATAATAATAATAATAATAATAATAATAATAATAATAATAATAATAATAATAATAATAATAATAATAATAA